TCTGTAGCCACCCGCCAACGCCCTCGGAACCTAGCCCTTTTCTTTCCCCCCTGCACTGGCCATGCCCATGAGCATGAGGGTGGAGCTGGGCTGTGACCCTGGGAGAGCAGAGAGTGGCCCTGGCTCCAAGGCCCACCTGGTCCAGGGCCCACACCAGACCTATTTTCGGTCACGCCTCACTTCTTTCTGAGAGCCAAGTCACAAGCCCAGCTGAGACATTCGGAAGCTGCGGCTCAGGCAGGTGGAGATGCTGGCCCAGGCCACATGCTCTGTGGGGCCAGAGCAGGGAGCCCAACCTGCTTGGGGGCCTGGGTCAGGGCAGAGGCAGGACCCCACGGGAGCTCCCAGCCAAGCCTCAGCTGAGCCTGCAGGGTCCAGGGGAAGGGGCAGCCCAAGTCACAGTGGGTGGGACACACGTGGCCTGGACACACCTGAGGCCGCTGTCTCTCCTCCCTGTGCGTCGGTTTCTCCCCCAGCCCCTACATTTGTGCTCAGTCCCTCTCCTTTCTCAGACTGCTTCTCTCACCTCGCCCTCCCTGTGTTGCTGTCCCTTGGCCCCAGGGGCTCCCTGCGGGCCCTGCTCTCTTGCCGTCCTCCCTCTGCGTCCTGGGTCACGTGTCCTGGCCTGTGCTGGCCTGTGCTGGCCTGTGCTGGCAGGGCTGCTGGAGTCAGGCCGCGCTCTTTGTCCTTCCTGCTTCTCCACTGTTGTGGGAGCTTCTCTGTTGGGTTTTGCTTCAGCTTCTGTAAAGAACAACTTTGAGGCCTGTAGGTCACAGGGTCGGCCATGGTGTGGGGTCCTCTGCCTGAAGGCTTCGGGGCAGGCAGCCTGGAGTGAGTGGCGTCCCACCGACCGACTCCTGAGAGCTGCGGCCCGTGGCAGCGTCACGTACCTGAGACGTGCAAGTCCATGATTCTGCGGGCGTGTGACCCCCAGCCGCTCCAGCGCAGCGCTTTCAGTGGGTCTGAGTTTAAACGATACATAATTAAACAGAAGGAGCCATGTGCAGAGCCATGTGCAAACCCGGGCTGGTGGGAACCTCCTGGCAGCGTCTGATTTTGTGGGGGGGTCCTCTTTCCTCTCAGGTGGGCTTCATCTGCCTGGATGGCAAGCCCGGCCCTGGGCCCTGGGTGAAGGTGTCAGGAGGGGCGCCCCAGGTCTGTGGGTGCTGACCAGGGTGCTGTGTGCCAGGAGAGATTTTCTTCTGCTTTGGGTAACTGCACTGACCTCGCTGTTCTGGGGGGAAGGCTGGGAATCAGGGAGCTGAGGCAGGGGCAGGGGTATCGGTCCCTGGGCAGGTGCCCTCACCCATGGCCAAAGCCACCTGGCTGTTCCACTGCCCCTGGCAAGTCCCTCATGAGTCGGGGCTGGAGCACCCCACACATATCAGTAAGCTGGGTTTTGGAGTGGCCCTCGGGTCCCAGGGGCATGGAGGACAGCCGGATCACACACGTCCAGAGCCACACAGGACTTGGCCTCAGGCACAGAGGTAGAGCAGAGGTGAGGCGGTGGGGGCTAAGGGGTGGACAGGGAACAGTGATGCCCAGCATGCAGAGGGCAGCAGGAGGCTGAGCACTGCAGGGCACCCCCTGGCCAATGTGGACACACTCGGCGGCATGTCCTGGTACAGGGCCTTCTGGGCTCCAGGCCAGTGGGACTTCCCCTGCGGTCCTGATCCAAGGTTCCCGGCTCTTCCAGTCCACCCGTGTTCCCTGTACTTCACATGTCCACGTGTGTCCATCTGCTGGCCTGTCCCCACCAGCCCGTGTGCCCAGGTGAAGACACAGGCCCAATTACCTCTCTGTCTCCCTGGCCAGGCCTGGCCTTGCCCCCCAGCATGCTCCCCAGACAGGCTGGCCGAGCCTGCGTGACTGCAGTGATGCACTGAACACTGGCAAGCTGTCCTTCCTTCTTCCAGACGATGGCCCCTCTCCTGTGGGGAGCCCTGTGTGCACCTTCGAGTCAGGGACACCAAGGCAGAGGCCTAAGGGCTTTCCCATGTCACATGGCTGCAGGGGACGGGGCTGCGACTTTCCTTCAAGGCACAGCTGAGGGTGAGCCTGCTCCAAGGAGGCACTGTCCCCAGAGGCCAGGATGGTAGAGAGGCCAGAAGAGGCCCCGGCCTTCTCTGTAGGAGCTGAATACCGTGTTACCTCTGCAGGCTACTTAGGTCCCTGTGGCGTGTTCCCTACCTTCTACAGCCCTTTAGGAACATAAGGCTGCAGGCAGGATTCGTCCCGGCCCCTGGCCTGCCCGGAAGCAGGGGGTGTGGATTCCTCGCAGTTGCAAGTCAGATGTGGCTTCTTTGTGAGCTTCTGAGGTTGAAAATACATGGCAAAGAGCATGTCTACCTCTGCTGCCCCTCTCATGTCAGGGTCCAGAGCTGCCCCTGGGGCGTCCCAGCTGGTATTCCTGGAGCCTCGCTCCTGTTGCCACAGCATCTGACACTCCTCCATTGCTGAGTGGTCCCGGGTGGGAGGAAGCCCCTGATGCGTGGACCCGCCAGCCTCTCCATCCTCCCACCAAGGGACACTCATGCCATGCTTGCTTTCTGGCTTTTCCCACTAAAGCTGCTTGGAACATTCTCATTGTGTTGTTTACATACCTAGGAAAACTGGAGGTCACAGGAGGTACCCTCAGCTCTCCAAAGTGGCCGCACCATACAAACCCTTTGGCAGTGACAAGTACATACTTCAGCACTGACATAGAAAAAGGGGAATCTGGAGTTCCCATTTTCACTGACTTGTGTCTTGCTGGCATCAACAAAATCCTGCCCTTAAACCACCAGTGCCAACAACATGTGAGGCATCTTGTTGACTTGCAGATGGAGTGGGTGGTCATGAGGGCCCTCCCTGCACATGGATCCCCTTTTCTTGTCCCTCAGGCTCATGGTTTGGGGCACCTCCATGGCATGTTGACCTGTGATTGGCAGGGCGGCCACACACACAACGGTCAGAGTGACACCCACTGGCCCAGCACCTATCACTGGCCCCTGTGCTTTGGTTGCTGTCAACTCCTGGGCCCTTTCTGGGGAGACCAAGAATGCCCAGCAGCCTGCAGGCTTTTGGCAGCTCTGGCTCCCAAAACACTAGTGTGAGAGAGAGAGAGAGAACTGGATCAGGCCCTGGCTCTGCTCATCCCGGCTGAACCTTGAACCTCTGAGCCGATTTTCACCTGTAAGATGGGAGTAACTGCTTCTTCCCTGGAGGATGTACAGAAAAAATGGGTGTGAGACTCTGTGAATGCTGTACTTGGGCCATGCCACAGAGGAAAGTGGCCACATACACAAGGGGGTGGGTGAGCAAGTGGGGGTCCCTGGAAGGGTACAGGGACAGGGACCCAATGAGGCCTGGGGACCTGGGCAGTCAAGGGATGCACCCTCCCCTTTCACAAGGGATGTCCACATTCCAGGATCTGTTCCTAGGGTCCCCACCCAAGTCCAGGGCTCTCAGCAGTCCCTAAGGAGGCCTCTCCCTGCCAGAAGGTGGTCTCCATGCCACTGGGCTGAATGTCTTGAAAAAAAGTGCCCTCACTCATGACGGTCACATTAGGGTAAAGCCCTTTGCAGAGAAGAAACCCTCTGAGAGGCAAACCTGGCTTTTAGATGTCGTCAGACCAAATTCACCACTTCCTTCCCGGCCAAGATGGGTTGTCTGCAGGGGTGTGGCGGCCAGGATTTCCTGGACCCTCAGTCAGGCCTTGGGGTGACCCCAGTGGCAGTCCCTTGGTAGCAGGAGGTTGGCATGGGGGCTGGCTCCCCTCCTGCCAAGATCCATGAACTTTTCTGTGTGTGAGGCCAGGGAAGAGCCCAGGAGCACCGTGGAGGTGACCAGGATGTTACTGTGGCCCACAGACCCACTGAGGCTCCCCATGATCCCTGGGATGAGGTCCCACCTCCTCAAATGGTTTGTCAAGATGAGCACACCCAGAGGTACTCCTGTGACTGGGGCTCCTCCTCCCCAACCTACGTGTACCTATAGCCCCCTGACTTTAGGATACAGCCCATGGCCCATCATCCATGAAGCCCCAGGCAGGGCCCCACTGGCCTCTGTACCTCGTTGGCATTCACCAAGGCCTCAGGACATCTAGTCAACAGGTATCTCCTGGGGGCTCCAGTCCCTAGAACCCAGCCAGAGAGTGACTTTACCAGGAGCCTGGGCACCTCTTTTGTTGGCGGGAGTGACCTTGAAATGGTACATGGCTCTCACGGACACCCTGGGGCCACAGCACTGGGCAGGCAAGAGGTGCGTCCTCCATCACCCAGCTGCCCCTAGTACCATGCTCTCTCCACTGGTACTAGGCCAGGCCAGGCAGGATGTAGGGCAAGTCCCCAGAGAGCCGAGGGCAGGGTACAGTCAGGGTCCTGCTCTCACCAGTGTGACGCTTCTACTGGAGGCCGGGATAGGGCTGAGGTACTGGCCATTCTGCCACAGGGTTAAACAGGATGGATGGGAATTGGTTTGGGAAGGTGTCCGGGCAGAAGGAACAGTCAGGGAGGCATGTGTACCCAAGTGGAGGAAGAGGGAAGAGAGGGCACGGGCCTGGAGGTCCCCTGGGGTAAGGGTAGGCCTGTACTCGGGGCCAGAAGGCAGTTTCTCTGTGTCCACCAGGTACGGCTTCAGGGCTTCAGAGAGGTCCACTGACTGCTGTTTGGATAAGGGGCTTGTTCCCCAAGTGCAGTGTGAGAGGTGCTAGTAACTTCCAGAGGTGCGGCTTAGTAGGAGGTCACTGGGTGCTGCTCAGGAAGGATTCCTGTGGCTCCCGAGGGACCCTGAGTTTGTGTTTTCAAGAATGGCTTGTTAGAAAGCCCGAGCCTTGCCATAATGCCATCTGTTTCAGTCCCTCAATAGAGGCCTAGGCAGTGGCCTGGTCTTGGGCTTTCAGCCTCCAAAATTGAACTAAATAACCTGTTTATGAAGTGGCCTAGCCTCAGGTATTTTGGTATAATAATGAGAAATGGGCTAATATTCTATCAGACTGACCTATCTATCTCTGTTTTCAGGCCCAGTGATGAGTACCATCCAGAAGTGAAGGCTGATGGGTACGTGGACAACCTTGCAGAGGCTGTGGACCTGCTGCTGCAGCATGCGGACAAGTGACAGCCTTCAGGGAGGGTACAGCCTCCTTCCATTACTGTCCCTCCTCCCCCGGTTCTCAGGACACCCAAATCCCTGACAGCCCCACCCTCTGCCCTCTTTGAGGGGAAGGCCCTGCTGGGCTACCTGGCTCCTGCACCACAGCCAACCAGACCGTTCCTCAGCCCCCCTCAGCCATGCTTCCCTGGGCTCCTGGGCAGAGGTTTGCTCATGACCCACATGATGTGCTCACCTGCCTGGCCCTGCCATGCCTCTGCCTTGGTGATGTCCAAAGGGTGGGACAGACCTGCCAGGCCTCCAGAGAGTGAAAGTCCTCTGAGCAGGGCTGGAGGCTCTCCCTGGGGTTGTCCTGGATTCATTCATGCACCATTCACACCTGGTCATTGAGTGCAGTGAGCTCCACCTAGCTGGGTGTAGAGGATGTTACCCCTTCACCAGGCTCTCTGCAGCCAAGTGAGGAGCCTGGAGAAAAAACAGAGGCCTCCTGGGCACATCAAGCAGCTCAGAGCCGAACCAGCCTGCCTAGGCCTGCTGGGCACCCCACCTAGGGCCAGCCCACGGCTTTTCCTTTCCCTGCGAGTCACACTGCAGATAGGCTGGGGGTAGCTCCCTGGGGCACTTTGAAGGGTACCATACTACAGAGGTTAAGGTTGCATACACAGAGGGTACTCTGGACCAGACTAGACAGAATGAACTAACGGCTCAATAAACTTGGCCTTGAATAGCAGCCTTTGACTCAGGCTTTGACTACCACAAAGAGCCCTGTGGGGAGAGAGTGGGTGCCTGGGTGGAGTCTCATGCACTATCCCTGGTCCTGTCCTGAGCTGGAGCCACTGAATGTCAGAGGGGCAAAGGCTGCTATGAAACCCTTCACCTGTTCTTACCCCTTTAACAGATGAGGAAACTGGGGCTCAGAGGGGACAGTGAGCTGTCCTTAGCCACACCTGGGAGATGATAGGCCAGAGAAAACTGGTAATGCCTTCCAAATTAGTTCCTTCTACATTGCTGCAATAGAATATCTGAGGCAGGCTTACTTTTATATAAGAAAAGAGGTTTATTTAGCTCAGTTTGGGAGCCTCAATGACATAGTATTGGCATCAGCTAGGCTCTGGTAAGGACCTCTTACTCTCTTGGCAGGAGCATGTTCAGGACCACGAGGAGGTCACCTGGAAGGAAGCTAGAGAGATCAGGATTCCATAATCCCTTCCAAGGCCATGCCCACAATTGGCCTAAGGACCACCCACTAGGCCCCAATTTTAAAGGCCCTAATACCACCCACTAGGGATCAGGCTGTCAACAAGGAATCTTTGAGGAAAACTCAAATATCTCAATCACAGCCTTTACTCGGAGCAGCCTGAGCCTGGTGGTGGAGAGAGCCCTGTTCAGACCAGGGGAGCAAGCCTCCCCGCAAAGCCTACAGGACAAATTCACTCTTAAACCAAGTTTCAGGTTTCAAAATCAATAAGCTGAGTGGGTAACTTGATTGTTGTTTCTCCCCCAATCAATTCAGAGGCCAGTGATAAATCTTGGGAGATAACTTCAAATAAGAGAAGCCAGGGATCCCCATAAGAGGACTTGCGTTAGACAAAGGCAGACAGTGACCAAGCATAGCAACCAGAAACCGGAGCCCGAGTCTTCGGCACAGCAGCTGGGAGCCCAGGGCCTTGCCCAGCAGGCTGGCAACCATTCAGTCAGGATCAGAAGATGGTGGCAGAGTCTTTTCAAGATGAGCGGCCACTGGCCAGGGCAGTGTCACTGGCATTTGAGGGGGGCCTTTGGACTTTTAGTTGGAAAGTCCGCAGCCAGCTGGCTCCCTGCTGGAACCCCCATGGCCACCTGTCAGAGTGGGAGGAGGCCAGCAGCAGGAGGGCGAGCGTGGGCTGGGCCTGCAGCACGCTGTGAACACGTTCTGTGGAGTTTGGGTTTCCTCTTCTCTCATTCTCAGGGCCTTGCCTCGCCTGCTCTCCTTGGTAGGAATTTGCAGCCCGGGCAGAACCCTCTGGAGGAGGGAGGCTGGTCTGTCTTCAAGTCGCTGCCCAGGAGAGGGGTGCAGAGAACAACCACCCGTGGGGCTGCAGTAGGCAAGAAGTGGTGTTGTCACTACCAGCATTTTCCAGATAAGGCAGCCGAGGTACAGAAGATGAAGTGACAAGCCCGAGGGCCAGCAAAAGAGGCACAGTGGAGACTGGAGCTCCCATCAAGGCCTGGCTCCTCGTCCCATGCCATTTCTGGTGACTTCTCAAGTGCTACCCCCACTCTTCCTGAAATTCTCCCGTGGGGATGGCCTGTGGTGACCCCAGGGCTGATTTTCCAGCAGAGCCTGTGCATGGGTATCTTCTCTCTCCAGATGAACAATTCTGGGGGTTGGGGTTCAGTGCTACCTGTGGGGAATCATGTAGCCCTGAGCCTTGGTTACCTCATCTGTTAAATCCCTCAACAGGATTTACCATCCCCTCTGGAGCAGATGGCCCCTTGTCCCGCGGCTTAAAAAGTGACAATGCTGCCCAGAAATGACAAGTGACCCCCCCCTTGGGTCCCTTCAGCTGCTCATAGTTACCAGCCTTTGGGGTGTAGCAAGGGAGCCTGGCCCTGGCTACTGCAGGCCCTCCCTCTATTGCCCCCGCCCAGCAGCTGGGTCAGGCAGGCAGAAAGCCTCCTACATGCTCATCTTAGGACAGAAGTGGGGCCAGGAGAGCCAGCAAGAGCTCATGGGTTCACCTCCCATTCCAGCGTGATTGGCAACAGCTTCTCCTCTCTGGAAATGAATATACTGGGCACTTTGCATTATCTCTCTTGAGTTTTGACTTTTTAGATTATAGATTTCTTATAATATGTATTGTTTCTAACAGAAAAGCATAAAAGAAACCATAAACCACCTGGAGCCTGGCCACTGTCCCAGCGGGCATTTCCTCCAGCCAGCCGTCCACACTCTGTCCAGTGCAGCAGGGGTTTTCATACTTTTTCAAGGTCGAGAAGCCTGCTCAAAAGGTGGACACACACCATGTCCCATCAATGGACCTTACATCAGGTGTATCTACGCGCTGGCCTGGCTTGGGGACTGCAGAGGGGTAAGGCCCCGATGCCAAGCAGAGGGTGGAGCTGCTACCCTGTGAGTCCTAGAGCCGTGCGGGGGCGGTGTCCCAGTCTAAGCAAACCGTGAGGTTCAGAAGATGGCCTGGGGGAGGCTCTAGGGTAGGGAGTGGGGCAGCCATAGATGGGCTGAGCTAAGCTGGAGTGAGTGTTGTGTTATTGAAAGTGACCACACCTGTCCTCAAGGCTGCCGACACCCTGAATCTCCTAAGCTTGGTTACCTGGTCTGAGAGGCCAGGCAGAAGACTGGGTGCCCACACTGGGCTGAGCAGCAGAGGCCTGAGCCCTACAGCTGTTGATGAGAGCAAAGGCCCTCGGCTAGAAGCCCAGCCTGTGCCATCCCTGGGCTACCCTGCTGGACAGAGGCAGACTGGCCACACAGGGTGCTGCAGAGTCCAGGCCAGGTCAGACTGGAGGCTCCCTGGTGGCAAGGCCCAATGCACATTGCTGGCACCCCTGCCTCTCAGCAAGGTTGGAACTACCGAGGGCTGTCTCCCCTCTACCCGCCCAGCTCTGTGGCTCCTGGCTGGACTTGTCTACCTCCAAACATGCACACACACTTCTCTGGTGCTAGCCCACCAGAGAGCCTGCAGCCCTGCTCCACTAATTCTCCCACAGTGGTCCTGCACTGGGACCCCTCCTTGGCTGTGTGACAGATCCCAACTCTGAAGCGTGGAGGGAAGAGAAGGGAACAGCCCATGCCCTTGACAGCATGGAGCTAATGCTCCGTGGCAGAGGGAAGGAGGGCCTACCCGTTCTCCACACCCAAAAGAAACTACACAGCTGTGCCCAGGCAGTTGGGTATGAACCAGGAAGCTTTATTTACACAGTAAAAGTAACAAGCAAATTCCTGAGACTAGAGCGGCTCTAGTGCAAGACAGTTATGGCCTGCGCAGGGAGGACAGGCTGCGGTGGGTGGCGGTGGGGGACAGACCCAGCACCCTCTGCACACTGTGGCCTTGCCCCAGCAATCCACTGGTCGCCACACTTCCTGAAGCTCTGCAACACCAACACCGCGGGGCCGGTCGGGAAAAAGCACAACCCTAGCACAGACCAGATGCCACCTGTCACCCGAGCCCCGGACATCGCCCTCACGTACTGACATCACAATTCATTTGCCAACAAGACTATGCTAGAAGGTCAGACTATCCTACCTAGGCTACAAGAGCTCCATTTCAGTCTGTAATTTTTTTCAAAAAACATCTCTAAAGAGGCATGGTTTCCTCTGGCTGGCACCATGGAAGGGATGTGACTGCAGCATGGCTGAGGTGGGGTGTCACGCCATGGCCTGCACAAGGCCATGTGTGTGCCCTCCAGGGCTCCCCGAGCCCCGGCACCTGGCTGGATGGCACCATCCCAGGTGGTGATGTCACAGGCGGTCGTGGTTCAGCTGACCACCCCTGGCCACAGAGCACATGTGCCTTTAACCTTCGGCGGGAATGGGCGCAGGATCCTGGGGTGTGCGGACTGCTATGGAAGCTTGCCGGGACAGGCAGTGCCCTGAATGCACCTCAGCCACATCCGAGTGTGGAAAATCACCCCCCTCTGCATTAGGAGACCCTACTGGAAACTGGGGTTTGTTTTCTTTTTAATGTGACTTTTCCTTTATTGAAATTTTCTTTCAGCATACAAATTCACAAAACTTTGCTGCTACAAAAATTTTGTTGAAAAGTAAGGCTTTCTGAGGATGAAAATCCGTATGTATGGTCAGGACAAGCTCCCTGGGGACCTGCAGGCATCTGCCCATGGACTCTGGGCCAGGCTGCGGCCCACCACCTGCGAATAAGGCAAGAGGGTGTGCGGTCATGTAAACAGTGAGGCTGCAGCCCTGAACCCAGGCCTGGTGCCCAGGCAGACGGCAGCTCCTGTCAGTCCAGTGGCTTTTGCAGTGAGTGGGGTGTGCCACGTGACAGGAAGCCCCTCTTCCCACCAGCCTTGCTGGAGCCCAGCCCTGCTCTCATCCTTTGGGGCCTTCTGAGCAGGCAGGCAGCCGGGCACAGCCCACCTTCCAGGTCCTGCACTTCTTCTGCCTCTGTGTGGAGGCAGGAATCACACGCAGGCCTGATGAAGGTAAGGCTCCTGCTTCTGCTGCTGCTGGCCGGGGCCACCATGCTGGTGGGAGGGACACCCACTACCCTTGGGGACAACCACAGGGGGGCCAGATGGAGCCTCCCAGGTAAACCTCCCTCCCAAAAGCTCCAAGATAGAGAGTCTGGGGCCAGTGGAGTAGGGCACAGGAAAGGCCTTTGGGCTATGTAGCTGCTAAGAAAACAGGGGGGGCACCTTCTAGGTGGAGCCTGCTCTGCCCAATCATAGGCAACCACAATCCAACTGAAGGCCTTCCTTCAAGCAAGGACACCTGCCATCTCCTCCCCTAACTGCAGCTAACTGCTGCTATCATGAGCTTAGGCCAGGGGCTTTGGTAGGACAGAACAGTCAAGAGGGATGAGGAGACTGGAAAGGGCCAAACCCTATCCTGGGATAGGGTCATTTCTGCCTGGCAGTGCCCTGGAAGTGGCTTGGGGGGAGGTGGGAAGGATGAGGCTGTGACTCAGCAAACGCCACTGCTTGCCTTTCTGCCATCAGGCCTAGGGTAGGAGTAGGTAGGATGTGAGGACAGGCCACCCCCCTACAGCCTTATGACACACACTTGCCACCAGGTGCCTCCTGTCCTGGCCCTAAGGAAAGGCACCTGGGAGCCACTCCCTGACTTAACGTTGCCTGGCCCTTTGGGGGGGAAAGGAGTGGGAACCCTGCCTCTGCCTTCCACAGGAAGGGCGTGTTCCATGGTGGCCACCGTTGGTATGGCTACTCCAGATACTAGAACTTCCCATCCTGGACTTTCTGGGGACAGGAGGCTCTGGCATGTGCTCTCCTTGGTCTCTTGACAACTACCCACCACCTCTAGGGCTGCTCTGAGAAGACAGGGCCTCAAGGTTGGCCATATAGGGATCAGGCACGATGCCCTTGTCCACTGAGCCACGACTCTCTGGTTTGGCTTTCCAGCGCCTCCGGTAGGAGTGACAGTGAACCCCTCCCCCACACACACACACACTGCCCCACCCAGTGCCACCATTGCGCTGGCCAGCCTGAGACTGCCACAGGGTTCTGAGGGCCACTGGGGTAGGGGCTTCCTGCAAGCATCCTGTGGCTGATTTGATGCCAACTATACAACAGAATTTGAGCCACCACCCTTTGGATGTAAGTAAAAAGTGAAGGTTTAAACAAAGTTTCCCAAACAGGGTCTTTCTTTAGGAGAAAGGTGAGAACCATAGGACTCGACCTGCAGAAGTGAGGCATTCGCTCATCCACGAAGATGAGCAAAGGCAAAGTGACTACAAAAGTGCCCGGGATCGTGTCGGTGAACTCGCGAGAACATGTCAGCTATTTTTAGCCTTATGGGAAAATGAGCCACTTGCTCACAAGCCAGCCCACTTGCTCTTGTCTGCGAAAGATGCCAAGTTTGCTAAAAGCCAGATTCCCAGAGTGCAGAGCCTGTGGGGTCTGCAAGGCGGGCTAGGGAGCTGCCTGAGTGCAAATCCTTGGGGAGAGGTGCCGGGAGTGAGGAGCCACAAAGCAAGCGAAGCAAGCTGGGCCATGGCTGGGCCTGCCTTGGAGGGGCGGCACCCAGCCTGGGCTCCCACAGTGGACAGATGTCTTGAGGCGGGCAGTGCACATGGATTAAAGCCAGAGTGCCCATGAACACGTGAGAATGTGCTAGAAACACTGCAGGGGTTCACAGACCCCCCATCCCAGGCCCCACGGAATGGCCAGCTCGTAGCTCCTGACTCCTGAGGACACTTCTAAGAGGCCATGCTTGTGTCGTGTACCACTGCCCTCACCTGAACGAGGGAATGGGAGCCACGGGGAAGCCTGCCACTGCCAGCCGTGCCACGGCAGCCCCTGCGGCAGTGGAGTGCGGGGAGGCTCTCCAGGCCGCAGGTGGGGTGAGTGGGTGTGTCTTCTGGCCCACAGATCCACCATCCCCATCCAACGTGGATGGCCTCTAACAAGCACCCAGAGTTGTTCCCTGGCCTTGGGCATGAACATGGCTTCCCTGCTCGGGGGCCATACCAGCCCCCACATGTGGGATTAAGGCCAAGCGGCTCTGGTGTTTCTACAGGAGGGGGTGTCTCCCGAACCTTCCCGGACCTGGGGCGGGGAGACCTGGGAGAGAAGGCACGGAATAAACTGAGTGAAAGAAGCTGTGGGCCAACTCCCAGAGTGGACCTGAGTGAGGCCAAGAAGGACCAGGACATGGCCCAAGGGATCCTGGCCCCAGCCCACGCCTGGCTCCCAGCGTCCCCACCCAAGGGATGCAGCACGGGCCCAGCCCTGTCCAACACCCCCCAAGAAACAAGGCAGAAAAGACCAAACCAAAAAGCTGCTCCGTGGGGCTACAGCAGTCCCGTGGACCTGGTGGCTGACGTGCTCGACAGCTGGGGAGACTGACACGTCCCACTAGAGGCAGGGCCAGGTCACCTTCACAGAACGTGGGGAGGCGGTGGGCAATCTCCCTGGGACCCAACACCTCTCAGGAAGCTTTTGTCAGGCCCAGGAGCTGGGCTCCCCCTAAGAGTGTCCACCGAGCACCCAGAGGAGGGCCCATTGATTCTAAAGCACCCCCATCCTGGACCAGGGCCCAGGGCGCCCTCAGTTCTTCTCTATCTGCTCGATGTCCAACTCGCCATCCAGGGAGCAGAGGCTGTTCCTGGCAGCTCCGCGGTCCCTCCAGGCTGTGGCCAACTCCCCCTTTCTGTTGCAATCTTCATCCAGGGCACAGCCATCTGACTCCTCGCAAGACAGGTCCTCCTGGCAGGTTAGGTGATCGTCGAAGGAGTGGGGAGGAGGCTCAGGGACCGGGGTCCCAGCAGGGGTCCTGCCCCCTGGGCTGGAGGCTGAGGCGGAGAGCAGGGCGGTCCAGGACCGGGTGCTGCTGACATGGAGGGCGAAGGGGCTCTGGGGGCTGCAGTCCTCCATCCCCGTACTCAGGCAGCTGAGGCTGCTGAAGGTCTGACAGTTCTGTGGAGGGGCAGACACACAGGTTACTGAAGGGCTACACCCCTCCTGGAACCCAGGATCACATACCCGAGAAGCTGGGCTAAAACCTAGCTGGCACTTGGTCTGCCAGGCTACAGCAAAACCACTGGATCCTGGACTCATTCATGAAGACACAGCCCTGGTCAGTGAACACTCTGTGCTAATCAGGAAATGCAAGATTCAGCTCTTTCCCTATGTAACTGGCAAAAAGCAGAAACAAGATGGTACCCAGTTCCGCAGTGAAATAGGCACACTCATCACACTTCAGGTGTGGCCTCTCCAAAGGGGACCTGGCAGGAATGCACTTGAGTCCTTACCTGGCCACTTTACTTCAGTTGTCCCACCATACCTGGAACTGGTTCCAGGAACCCCTTATTAAATAATGTTGTATTTGTACAGAACCTGCACACATCCTCCCATGCTTAAAATCATCTCTAGATTACTTACAATGCCCATTGTACCGTAAATGCTGTGTAAATAGTTGTTCTACCGTATTGTTTAGGAAAAAATGACAAGAAGTTTGTACATGATCATTACAGATGTGATTATTTAAAACATATTTTTGGTCCAAGGTTGGTTGAATCTGAGGAAGCAGAACCCATAGATACAGAGGGGTGACTGAACTAGGATTTTTATCTTAAGACAACTACTTAAAACATGTGCAAAGACTCAGCAACAGTGCTGGATATTGAAGCCAAGGCCTTGAGCACCTAGGAGCACACTCTGCCACTGAGCCACACCCTCAGGCCTGACACGAATGCTTTTAGTCACTGCAAAATGAAAAAGAGAGTCATCCAAATCCCCTGCAAGGATGGTCAAGTAAAGTACACATTTTCAGACAGGAATACACTGTACAGCCGCCACACCAGACAGGGCAGGAGGGAACTTACTGACACATAGCCATGCTCATGGTGACAGGCCTACGTGACACAGCAACCTTACCGGGCCACACTGCTGCACACAGGGGCTGGAATTCCACCCCCCAGCTCCCATGGTCTATAGGGTGAGATAGGACCTTGACAGGATGAGCTGCTGTTATCAGAACCATCCAGGCATCTGTTTCTAGAGTTCTAGGCCCTGCCTGGAGGTGGAGATGCAGCATCTCTGGAGAGCAAGGGCCCTCCTGGCCTTACACAGGCACTGGGGCGGGGGTAAGCCACTTATCTGCTAGAGGAGGAGGGCCAGGCTCCAGGCTGCTTCTGCTCACCAGCTCATCTGAAAGACATGCGTGACAGTCCTTGCCTGTGTTGCAGGGCTCTTGGAGGCCTCAGAGAGGAAGTGTGGCTGCCCAAGAGCTCCCCTGCCACCAATACTGCCTCTGTGTGGGGTCAGCCTGAGGCCTGCCAGAGCAGTGGGTGCAGCCTGAGCATGAACTGAAGGGATAGGCCTGAGACTGCACAAGTGAGTACAGTTAAACACTGGCTTTCTTCTCCCTAGGGACAGATGCTTGGTCCAGCAGGAGAAGGGACAGAGGTGTGGCAGTGAAAAACATCCCCAGCTTAGCCCCAGATATTCCCAACAGGACCCACAGCCACAGGTCCCTTAGATGGAGTGCCACAGAACAGCTATGCACACACAGGTAAAGGAGAGGAACTGCAGGCTTTGGTATCTTCTTTGTACCCAGGGACTTGGAGTACCTGTCACTTCTTGTGCCACACACATGCCAATGCCAAGAGTACAGACCTGTCTCAAGGGCCCTGGTCCTTTTAAAGTCCAGTGTTTGTGTGTTTCTTTGAAATCAAGATGACCACCAGCTGTCACAGCAAACAAGCTGCTGGAGCATCTTGGCAGACAGAGAATAAAAGGCACTCCCCCTGGAGGAAGGCAGCTGCGCCTGCGGGGCTGCTCAGTGCTCCTCGAAGCTCAGAGGAAATAAGTCGGATGAGTTCACTTCTCTTGGAATCTTTCGATAAATGGGAAAGGTAAAAGAAGAGGTTCTGGGGGCTCAGCACTGGATCTAGGAGAGAGGGGCTGGATTGCCAGCTGCAAGCCCCTGGAAACCGATGCAGCCTCCGTGTGCAAAGCACATTCATTCCCCTCCACAGTGACACTTCCAGGTCAAGAAAACCTGACACCTGGCAGAGCGGAGGCTTCACACGCCTGTGAAGGAAGGATCTCTCTTGGCCAGCCTGAGCAGGACAGGGCCCAGCCTGAACAGTCTCAACCCACGTGACCTTGGCCTTGCTGAGCCAAGCTGCCTGGCTGGAGGAAGCCCTGGAGTAGGGCCAGGATCAGTCAAGGGCGCAGGAGCCCAGGGAGCCAGACCAGCTCTTTCCCATCCCAGGCTGAGCAAGAATAAACATCAACAATATCCAGTCCAGGCCCGAGTGTCTTTAGTGACCTGCTATGGGTGACACGGCTCTGACACCACCATGGGTCTCACCATGTCTTTTCAGCGTGCGGATGCCTAAACACACGCCCTGTTCTCCACAAGATGGAATGTAGACAAGGCAGGCCGTGGGCAAACCTGACAGAGATAGCTCCACGCTCAGCACTGGCTCCACCCTCCCCACCTCCTGCCTGTCTTGTCCAGCAACCCCCTGAGAAGCAGCGGCATGTCCTGACTTTATGCATGTGGTCTGAACGTGTGTTCCACATCCTCACTTTGATGCCTCATCCTCATGCACAACATGAAGATGCAGGGCCTTGGGAGTGAGGGTCACAAGGGTGGCACCCTCATGAGTGGGATCAGGACTCTGATAAAAGAGACACGTGGGAGCTCATGGGTCCCTCTGCCATCTGAGAGCATGGCACCTCCCCACACTTGTAGTCACAATCATGGATTTCCTGGCTTCTAGAACTAAAGGAAGAATTTTCCCTTGTTCTTCAGTTCCTTGCTCTCGTCTTGTTAGAGCAGCCTGAAACGACTAAGACCCATGTCAGTACTGGCCACAGCACACAGGAGGGTGCTAGGGACCCCTTTTTGATGGACCTGGAGAAGGCCGAGTTCAGACAGGCTGTTATAGATGCAGACTTCACCCCACATGGCACCCCGGCTTCAGACAAATCTCTCCAGCCTCTGAGCTATGGCCTGTCTGAATTCAGATACGGGTAGCCAAGGACATCCAGGGCCACCCTTGCCCTAGCTATCTGAAATAATGGGCCCTTTTTGCTCTGCAGCAGGATGAGAAGTCATAAGGTTAAGGTGGCGAGTCCTGTCACAAACACCATGGGATATATGCCTCCCCCCACACCAATATTCCTCAAAGGTACCTGTCCCTCGGCCGCAAAGCCAGGTGTCACTTTGAAAAATCTGTTGACGCAAAGCTCAGCCATTACAGCCACACCAAGCTCCACCACTGGTTGCCCCACCTGGTAGCCTGTCCCACCAGTTAGGGAGGTATGTGACTGCTGCAGTGGCACAGTGTACGTGCTGCCCAGAACCCCATTCCCAGGGAGCCCACACTGACAGACACCAGAGCACACTCACACCCAGGTTTGCAGCCACCTGGGCCCACTACGTCCCCAGGCAGGGCCCACCCAGCCTCCCAAGAAGCTTAGCCTGTTCCCATGAAGCTGCATGAGCCTGATGGAGGCCCAGAGGCCTCAAAAATGTTTGGGGTAAGTTCAAAGTGCCACATGAACACATCATTCCAAGGTGAAATTGCTGCTCTGGGATAAAATGTCACTCACCTGCCAACCCCTGTTCTCTTGAGGCCCAGCCTGGCCCAGGAACAGTCCATCTACTAGGGCACAGGCCTGCCCAGATCTCAAAACCCAGTGAGAACAGTCCGTGTGGCCTCAGATGAGTGGCCAGAGACCTTAACCCCCCTTTTTGCAAAAGGCAGAAAACAGCAGCCTGCTGGAGGGGTGACTTTGGAATGAAGGCCCTGTGAGCTGACCTTTCCACTAGACCCACCAGAGCTTGACCTTAACCAGCCAGGACAGAGACCAGGGCCACTCCTGCTGCCCTAGCCTGGCTCTCCAGTTCAGCCTACCCAACTCCGTCTCCTCTGGGCTTCCCAACCCTTCTCTGGGGAACTTTTTTGAGCAGATACTTGTTGTGCAATACCCCTTCTGCTCCTGGCTGGGCCCTGGGACAGACAGAGGTGTCCTGGGCCTTATTTCCAGGTGCAAGTTGAACCCGCTTCTTAGGAAACACATTAACTCAGCAGATACTTGGCTCTCTGTTGCAGCTGGTACAGAGTCACCTGCCCTGCTGAGCCTCAGGACCATGGAGCAGGCATGTCAGTGGGACTCTAGAAGGACCTTCTGAGCTGCAAAAGCATGTTTCCTAAGTAGGGACCCAGAGGGGCAAGGTCTGGGTGGGGCAGGGAAGAACAGCAGAGCTCCTTCAGGGAATGATGGCTGGGTGCCGAGAGGCTCCCAAACCTAAGATTCTTATCTTTATACACAGTATCAGGTGTCCAAGGGCAAGGGCAGGCTGGCTGGTCAGTGACATGTCTGAGCATGCAGCACAGCTCCCCCTGGGTTTTGGTTTCACGTGGAGGGCTGGAGGAGGAGGGCTGGAGGAGGAGGGCTGGAGGAGGAGGGCAGGGAGCATAAATTCTATCAGAAGCAGGACTGTCATCCCTGGCCTAGCTGCTTCCAGAATTTGTTTCGGAAACAAAGCAAATGAGTGGTAAATCAGGGGCTGCTGGATCCCCTCATCCACAGAAGCCCCAACTCACTAGGCCATGAGTGATGGTGCTGGGTCCACAGCTATCCCTTCCAGAAGTGTTCTGGGCTGCCCCTATAGGGGCAGCCCTGGTCCATGACCAGTCAGGGTGCACATGCTGCCCTTCACTGTGGGCAGGATCACATCCCAGGTGCCAGCCACACTCCCAGGCACCAGGCTGAGGCCCACCTTCTGCTGTGCTCGCCTCTCTGCTTGGCTTCACCCCCGCCCCCGTGGGCACCCCTGCCATCCCTCTGGGCTTCTCCCCAGAGCCTCCCTCCCTCCATCTCTTGCCCAACAATCCCTGGCTCAGGCTCTGCTCCTAGGAACCCTGCCGCCTGCCGAAGGCAGCAGTCAAGGTGCT